GGAGGGGCAACATGTCTAATTACTTGTGGTGTATGCTCATTCACGTTCTCAAATAATGCTGCATTCCACAAAGTATCCTCCTTCCTTCCTTTCTGTGTCGCATGGTGGTGCCTGCATGGTCACAAGGCACATGAGCACTGGAGGACATGAGTGCTCCCCGACATGGTAAACTCAAGGAATTGCAGAGAAGATGGGAGCAAAAGGGTTTAAGGCTGAGAAGTCTCCAGAAGTCAAGCACTGCCTGTGGCGAGCATCTGAGTATTTTTAAATACTCTGAAAAACAATGATCTTTATCGGTGTGTGTGCATGTGCACTTGCACACCCAATAATGAAACATATCTTTTGTCAGTTCTGTTTATTTTATGTGTGGATGTCCCAAGAAGAATGAAAAGAGGTGTTCACTGTCAGTTTTTAGATGTGAGTGACGCACTAGGCTGCGGTGCTGTGCCAACCCAGGAAAGGCCAGAAAGGGAAGAGAAAGCAAGCGAACACTCCTCCTGCCATCACTTCTCTAGCTTGCCAGAAAAGAAAAAAATGAAAGAGAGAAAGAGAGAGAGAGCACTATCCTACTATAACGACAAAAATAACAGAGCAGAGTGAAAGCAAAGAGGGCTGTGGCTTCGAGGTAAAAGCTCCCGGCTTGTTTCCTGCCAGTTCTGAGTGGATCGGATCCTCAGGTCCACATTTCAAAGGATAATTCTATGAGAGACGTGGTCCCAGCAAATTGTTTTTTAATATAACACACCTTTCTATGAGATAAAGGCTTAAGAACTATAAAACTGAACAACCTTTAACATAAAATGAGAGACTGTAACATGAAAAATGATTAACCAACTCTGATTCATACATTATAATTTGGTTTCTTCAGTTATAAAAAGCAATAACAAGACTTACAAAGATAGCGAGTTTTCCGAATTATAACTAGGAAATACATTCTCTTATTTATCGGGTAAATTTAAAATTACTGAGCTGAGCCTGGCAGCATAGGCCTAAGATCCCAGCTACTTGAGGGCTTAAGTCACAGGACTCACCAGGGCAAAGGCAACTGTTGCTATGGTACAACATTGAACTCAGCTACACAACTTGCTGAGATCCTTTACCTCAGTTAAAACGTAGAAGGCTGAGCACACATCTCAACGGCATGTTTGCCCAGCAGGCACGGGGCCCTGAGTTCAATGCCTAGGGATATCTCAAACAAAATAGGTAAGCAACATCCGCCACAGCAGTAAGTTCATACCTACTGCTCTAATAACACAGTTCACTTTAATAATTTAACCATCTTTCTAAGGTTTTATAGGTATGTATTTTTTTTTCTTCCTCAAAGGATTGCTATTGAGTCTTCAATCTTCTATTTATTTTCTGGAATCAAGATGTACCCATTCTTATTCCATTTGCATTTGACTTTTCATAACTTTTTTCCAAACTATCTAGATATTCAAGCTATTTTTTTTCCCTTGTTGGGTCTAAAGAGATGATTGACAGACAAATGCATAATTTTGATGAGTATTCCAGTGTCTCTTCAAGAAATTAATCATAGGGACCAAGTCTGTGTCATTTTCTAGTAAATGCCCTGGATGTTTCATTGTTGATGATGCTTATGTAAAAGAATGAAAAGAAAAGCCACAAGGGGAAGAACATTAGAGACAGAACACTGCCACATCTCCCAGTACACCTTTGGATAATCTTATGGCTCACTAGACAATTCTTTTGAGAAGTTTCTGTCATTTAGTCATCACTGATTAGGCCATTCATTTTGTTTTTCAATTTCTTCTTTTTAATATCAACTCCTTTACTTCCTCATTCCCTCAATCAGTCCATCACTCAACTTTTAAAATCCACCAGGCCCTCAAACTCTATACAGAGCAGAGTTTCTGTAGCTACCTGACATCACAGAGGAGCAGAGGCATATTTGAAGGAGCAGCTATCATGGGATATGACTACCGAGAGCAGGGGTGGGAACAGAAGAGCCAGGGGAAATGATACAGAAGGCCAGTCGGATAGGAGGATGCAGCACCTTTAAAAACACGAAAATTCATGGACTTCCTAGCCGACCTCACAGAGGCAGCAAAGGGAAAGGAGATGTGTCCGTGAGCATTAAGTTTTAGGTGCAGGTCATACTAAGGCAAGTGCTTGACCAATGAACAGCAAACGTCCAAGAAGTGCTTGCAAACACCAGACGACCTAAACAGAAAGTAACCTAGAGGAAGGTAATTGTTTCCAATCCCAAGTTTTAAGAACAATAATTCACTACTTACACATGGATGAGGTTGTTACAAGTAAAAAAACAAAAAGTATAAGGAATACCAAATTTACAAAAATAAAATCATATACAAAGTCATAATATACATTTTTAAGAGCCTCCATGAATAGCCAAACTATTTCAATCTAGAACCTACATTATCTATATATAAATACCATACTTCAGAGGAAAGATCTGATGTACATACTTGTATTTCCAAAACATATTGCTTTGGTTTTTAGTGTTAAACCGTATTCAACTTGTAGGATATAACATGGGCGAAATTCCCATTTTTTAAGCTCTCAAGTTCTTTTAAATTTAAATGGAATGCCTGTATTTAGAAATCTTGATATGTTCCTTACAACTCCTATTGCTGAGGTGGGCAGACAAGCAAGGTTGTGGCATGAAGAAGTATCCCCTGTATTGGTGCCATGATGAAATGTTCCTTTTAAATCTTTTGTGGGCAGGAAACTTAGAAAATGTATCAGTGCCTACGTAAATCTGGAAAGCTCTCAACATACTCAGAAAGCTGTTTGTTTTCATGTTTCACTTACAGAAACCTAAATTTAACTATTAAAGACACTGAGATTGGGTGTTTAGGACAAGGTCAGTGCTAAAGATGGCACTTGTCTCCGCATTGGTACCTGTTCTCTCCTGGTCTAACAAACACCAGTGTGGATTTTAAACTTTTAAAGGGCCTTTATAATAAGCACTGGGGTGTCACTCATATGATTGTGGTGGCACCAAATCTCTTTGGGATTCTGTTGCTACCATCAATTTGGAGTAATTATTTTACAAACACATTTAGTCCCTCATTAAGGAGGGAAAACATTCACACCGCACGCATGTTAAAGACTCGTGCAACTCCTCATTCCTGATGCGGTCACACCAGCACTGCTACACCGACTGCATGCTTTTCAGATTTGTCTCTTAAAGATTATTTTCCATGTTTGTGAATGCATTACAGCCTCCTGTTTCACCAGGGCATTACAAAAGACCTTACCAATACCAGAAACTGCAGTCTCTTTTGGAAGGTGCACCATATAATATATTTTGCTTTATAGCTCCTTTTGGAACTGGTAACTATACAGAGTGAAGTAAAAAGTGGAATCTATTTTCCTTTCCCAACTTGAAGACCTTCTATCTGGGCCAGACTTTGATATTTGCCCCTTGGCTGAGAAGCCGCATATCCAACTTCACACTTAGCTGCAGTGAAGTAGCCCTGCAGGCAGGCCAACTTCAACGAACCACTAGTGGTATCATCATTAAAATCCTGCTGAAGGTCACCATGGTAACCGCCTGCTGAGGCTTCGCTGCTGCACTCGGCATCTCCTAATCAGCTACCATGTGAAATGCAAATTCAGACAGTCTGAAAATTAGTCAAGAAGAATAGGGGATGAGGATGCAGATATGTGAAATATTCATGTGCTTCATGGAAAAAAGAAGACAGCATGAATGACACAACAAAGAAAGGCTCCTGACATTCTTGCTATCGTTTTGCATTATTGTTCACACTCTACTGTATTTCTAGGTCTATAGTTCTGAAGTTGGTTTTGGGAAATGCCATATTTATATTCTATACCCAAAATAGTAATTAAAAATGGCTAACATAAGAGTATTAACATCAAATAAAGATAATACTTCCAAATTATCATCATTGCTTCCTAAAAGTATATTCTAATTATCTAAATACAATACCATGAAGCAAAAATGGAGGCATCATTCGTTATCAGTATCAAACTATCAGATGAATACATACTAATTATATTCTAGGAACACACATGATTTACATATAGTAAAAAAGCATTTACAGGTGTTTATTATTCCAGCTATATAGACACTAATTTCCTTGTATAATAAATGCTAAGACCAGATGCTCTCCATTTCACAATAGAAAGTATGACCAGATTACTTAATAAGTGAACACTATAACTGTTCACTATTTTTCCTTTGCTCCTTTCCATTTTCCTGGGGCAAAAATATCTGTTGCTCATGAGATGAGACGTCCATGGCTTTACAGCTTAGAAGTCCCAAAAGAGCCTTGTAAACTCATCTTAGTTGACCAGGGACACTGCTCTTCTGCATGACCCTCAAAGAATCATGATGTATTAGGAGAGAATGGAAGATACTGGTTAATGAAAAACTGGATGTTGGGTAAGTGCCAAAACAACTCATTCGAGTGCATTAGAGGCAAGCAGAAATTCAGATCTGAGAGTCTTTGAAAATGGTCAGTCTTATCCAACGTATTTTATAAACACGTCTAGAATGGTAACTTTAAACCACCAGAGGAATGAGGCTGAAGAAGTGAGGGGATGCAAGGACAAGTATTGCCCAAGAAGAAAGAAGGAAAAGAAAAAAGCTCAGAGACAGGTGGCCGGGAGGTACATAGTTCAGATCTGGGAACACACAAGGAGGGAAGTTCTACCAAAGTGAGTTTTCATGTCTGCAAGGTTGGGACTGAGGACTCAGCCTGTCACAAGATGCCCAGGAACTAGTACTGGGTCAGAACATTCCTTCTTCCCTTCAATGGTGTCACTCCACATCAGTGAAATTAACTATTTGTGGTTCTTCCACTTGAGGACGTCCCACTCCTCGTTGTGAATTGCAGAGTTAACCTAACAGCAAGATTCTGAGAGAACGAGAGTAATGAAAGGGCTCTTTCTGCCACCTGGACTGTTCATCTGTATTTCTGAGAAATGTAAAATTCCTTAGTTAAGTATCTTACGAAAATGAGCCGATACAGGGGCTGAAGACTGCTTACCTCCTCCGAATAGTGATCGGACGGGAGGGGCGGATAGTCACACTGCTCTATCTTCTTACACAGAGAGTATAAATTCATCTTGTCACCGTAGAAAGGGCTCTGCAACGCGGCCATCTGTAAGACACAATGAGACTGGTGGACACACAGAGCAACCGTAAAGGTGACTTCATCAGGTCAGGACACTGAGGTGGAGAATAATTATCAATACCTGGAGTAATATTATATAAGCATTTTGATTTTTATGATTATCCTTTTCTGAGAATTATTAAGTGTGAAAAATCTTAATTCTATTTTTTGACACATTTAAAATTCCTTAAAAATGGTTGTATCTCACACAACATAAAACAATATTAAGGAATGGACGGTATCGTGTGTATATGGCCATTAAAAACAACTAGCATATTTTACGACAAAATAGATATCATATGTTATGGCTCAACTATGTAATAGTAAAATGTAACATAAAACTAATGTTAAAACTGAATTAAATTTATTGAGAATTTATGGAATGGGATGTAAAATGTATAGTATATTCTTTAGGAAAATGTTATTTTGAGAGGGAGAAGACAGTTTTTTAATATTATAACTGATCCTTAATCACAACTGTTCTTTTGATAATGTCCCAGAAGCATTAAATGTGTTAAAAAAAAAAAAAAGTCCATGACTCTAGATGCAGTTCAAGGTATCGAAAGGTGATTTTTTTTTTTTTTTAATGTGAAAACACAACTTAGAGGATGAAGCCTGGTAAAAGAGACATTACTGAATTTAAATGTATTTTAAGACAAGGCTCTAACTTGACATTTAAAAGTGCAAGCATCTACTTGGTAAGCAAGGTTACAAACTAAAAATTCAATTTAAAATGTTCGCATCCTGTTCAAAACCTTCTAAATCTCTGAGCCGCAGCCGTAAGAATACAACACGGAGTGCCAAGCTGCCCCAAAGTCAGTCACCCTTTTCTACATGTGCTAATAAGTTTGATTTTGGAAGGACAATGTGTACATTCCCCAGACAGGCAGAGTGTGTGTGAAACACGCCGGTCCATGCTGCGCTACTCAGTGAGCGTCAGTGGGGACAGGACAAGCTGAAAATGGCTCTCATCTGTCTTCTGTGCTCCAGACAGGCCTTTAACTCCTTCAGAGCCTCAGCCATGAGGGGGACAGGCTTGGAAATCCCGCCTAGAAAGCAGTTTTATGTACAGTTTTACCTGGCCCATGTTTTATACAAAACCTACACACACCCACACAGAAGAACCTTGGGAATAGTTGTTCCACATGACGACATACAGTAAATAATGACTTGAATGCCCTAAACACAAAACACTGAGCAGGAATTTCTAATGGAGGATCCACCGCCATAAGCAATGTTTACATTTGAAGTGTGAGGACAATATATGATAAAATCAAATGTTAAAATGGCCACCTTAAGAATCCACTGTAGATATAAGCTACCATCTCTCCACCTTTGTAAGACCTTAAGTAAGTGTACATCCAATCTCTATCATATCCTAGGAGTTCATTATATTACTTTTGTCTCAATACTGCAGAGTGTTAAAAAAAAAAAAATCTGAATGTCCCCTAAGGAGTTAAACAGGAATAGTATATTTTCATGCATCTCCTGCTTTGACAGATGAAAAATGTCAACTGTCCTGTTTTTATTTTCGAGCTTTTGCACTATTCATCTGGTTCATTAGTGCATCCCTGCGCTGCCCCTGACAGCTGCTCGCCCTCTCCTCCCAGCAGCTGAATTTTTCAGGCTAATTTGATCCTCCACACTGAGACGATCGCTAGAATGATTGACTCGCTCCCTGACCTCCAGGGTCTGACTTTCCTCATTAGTATTCTGGGGGTGTCGGAGGGACGAAAGCCCACTGTCTGTCTCCGGGCCTGGTGGCAGCTCTCTTTTTTTTTGAACTGTAAGCCACCAACCTCCAACCCTGTAAGGATGCAATCGCTGCACTGAACAATAAAGGAAATGTGTAAAACCTACTTTTCCATGTAAAGGTCCATGTAGCAAAGCACAGCATCTTGATTTTAATTAGTAAAGTCTACTTTGTTGCATATCAATTAAAACTGCACACCTAGTTTTTTCAAAGGTTTCGGGAATATTTGAAAGTCTAATTTCCCCCATTTAAAGTATGTTCTGAAAAAAGGGCTTCCTACTCCTTCATTGTTAAACGGTAATTTCTTGATGGATTATGACAGAAAAAAAACATCCATCTGATGCTACAGACAGTTAAGCTAAATTATACCAAAAAAATTAACAATAGAGAAATCTTGAATAAAGACAAATTAAATCTTTTTAAATGTTCTCAATTCTTGCATGGAGGATTTGGGAAAATACATTGAGACGGATTTTGATGTGAACATGATAAACACTTGAAATTATCAGGACATGCATACCTTGAGAACACGGGAATGTTCACAGAAAGAACTATTCTGGCATATAAAAAAGGAACTTGTCTTTCAAAGGCAACTGTAAAATATGTAACTGTTTCAATTTTGATATAATATTGTTAGTCTTAAAAAATATTAAGTAAATGTCTTCCTCTAATACTACTTCCACTCAGCTTTTCTCTTCCCATTGCTAAATTTAATCTCATTATTAGTAACTTATTTCCTACCTTCCTTTAGGCTGTTTGAAAGGAAAATGTTTCTTTGATTTCAGATTATAGTCTGAACAACTCTAATGCTATCTGGCCAGGTTAAAAGAAAAGTTTTTAACACACGAAATGATTAACTTCTAAAACTTGCAGTAACAATACTGCCAAGCCAATTATCAATCTTGCTCTCCCCCCCTCAGCCCCCAAATCATTAGTAGAATCCACAGTAAGCCCAAACCTCCTGTCATCCCATGGACACATGAGGATGCACAAGCAGCACGGCCCCGCATCGTCTCATGGACACACGACAACTCATGCTCTGCCACATCACTAATTCCTATTTCACAGTCAAAACTGAGGTGAGCTCACATAAGAGCATGTTCCAATCCCTTGAGTCGTCCTTAGTCATCAGAGAAAGCACAAAACCAGAAAGGTCAGTTTCCCTAAATGAAGGAATCTGTATTCAGCAAAACTACAAAATGCCAATAACACACACACCTCAATGAGCTACCTCCAAGTAAACGTGGCAAACTGCAGCAGATGACACTGGGTCAAAAGAACAAAATAGACACAGACTTTAGATTTCTTTCTTGAAACACAAAGATGGTTCCATGCATTGTGTTTCTTCAATTGTGAAAAACTTACTTAGATGCTGACTGAGTTTTAATTAGCATCTTTGACTCTGTATTTCCCTGACATACAATTAAGATTGTATCTTCGGAGTTGCTAACTTAGGATACTGTCAATGCCGTTGCTCTGGAGGACAGTACAAACAGGGTGTCCTTTTCTATAGCTGCAAGATTGCATCACAATATTAACAGAGAACTGGTCTATGGGACACCCACCCCTCATGCTAAGACCAGAATTCTCAAGCCTAAGTGATAACCTGCAAGGCTTAGCTTCTTGGAAGCCATCCTTAAAGCTGGATTTCACTTGTGTAAACAGAACACAACATACTGATAAAGAGCCTTAACTATTTTTGTGCCTTAAATCCATGGCATCCTTCTCTTGCAATGCACTAAAAATTTTTTACCCCTCTCATATATATACATATATATGTGTGTGTCTGTGTACATAAGTATGTACATATATATACATATATATGATGAGCAGATTAGCATTTTATTAAGAAAAATATTAAAAAATAAGTCATCAAAAAAGAATGTTAAAATATATTAGAAAAAAATATGTGGTAGCTTACAATAAATAAATCATTGCCTAGTGAGTTAATTCACCTCAACAAGAGCCAACTACAAAATATCTAGAATAAAATCAATATAAACTATAAAGTGGATATATATCAGAGTGAAACTGTATCAAGGTACAGAATTTATCAACAGTGCCTACCTCATAGAGCAGACAGCCAAGAGACCAGATGTCAGACTTGAAGTTGTATCCATTTTCATGTATTCTCTCCGGAGACATGTAATAAGGTGTACCCACTGAAAAGACAAACCAAATAAAACTAGTACCATAAAAATGAAGATGTAGCTACTGTAAGAAATTAAACACTCATTTTGAGGTGGAAAAGCAGGGTGGAGGCTGATACATGGGAGGGTTGTAGGGAAGAACTGGAAGGGGAAAATGATATAATTGGCAATTGTATTTAATTTTAAAAACAAATAAAAGAAAATACTGAAAAATTAAACACAAAATTTTAAATTGAAAAAAGTTAGCAAAAAATTGTCAGGTTCGCCAAATTCTTTGGAGAATACTCAAAGTTTATTTCATCTTTACTATTCAAAAGAGTATATTATTATCTACACCACAATTAAAACAGTATAGTGGCTTAAACTTGTTAACTGTCTCGTTGAATCAATCCAAGGACAATTTAAGCAGGATAACTAAAGAAAAATAAAAGAATTTTTTTTTCAGAAAAAGTTATGCAAATGATTTACGTGGGATTTTGTTGTTTATAATACAGCTTCCTATGTTAAATAACTGAGCATAATACTTCAAACTAGTATTAGATAAGAACTGTGACGCATATAAACCAACACAGCACGCTTAAGCAGCTTGCAAAAGCATCCCTGAGAACACAGTCCTGGCTCCTGACATAAACCGTGTCACCGCTGACGCTGTGCTCAGTCACTGTATGGGGAACACAGGGTCTGTCATAGGTAGAAGTCGTGAAAACCTACAGACAAGGCCTCACACCTTTGCCAAAGGACCTGAAATACTGCTATTATGAAGTCTTTCTACAATCATTTGGGGACTTTCTGGGTTTGTTGGTTTTGTTTTAAAATATACATTTTTTTTCACTTTTGTGGCTATCTATTTTTTCAAAATGCTAACATTATTAAGAAAACAAAAGCCTGTATAAACATGCTTTCTAAGGTAAAGACATTTAGGTGACCTTCCAAGTGAACACCTTTAATTTCATGTACCTCAGCTGTTGCTTCACTATTAGTAGTCTAGTTCTCTGCCAAACAGCAAATCAAAGTTTGCACTTGTCTTCATGGATCTCATGTACTAACAATACACACTGCGCGTGGAGAAAAGACCACGCCAGGTTTTCCACTACCTTTTTAAAAATCCCCTAGATGTTTGTTATAAATCTTAAAGAGATAATTCACAATGTTGTAAAAGTGACTTTAGTCAGAAACACTACTAGGAGTCACACCAATAATCAGAGCACCATCCTTGGAACCAGAAGTCACTTTTCAAACAGAATAAAGTTACAGCCTAAGATCTCTGTGTGCAACTCAGCTGTGCTGAGCAGGGAAGAGGCTCAGGTTTACCTAGAACGGAATCCATTTTCAGTGAAAATGAATAGTCCTTACCAGAAAGGATCAGAGAGTGAAAGAGAACAAGTGAAATCAGATGATGCAAGAATGTCAAAACTTTAAGGGAACTCTCAACTACTCTGATAGGAAAACAAGGGGAAAAAGCTTTAAGAATCACTTAATCGTAGCATACACCTTGGAGGCAAGTTTGCACATTTTAGTAGTATCATGAAGGCATAGTGGCTCAGGAAAACAACAACAACACAACTAGCTTCAAAGTGTCATAGTGTGGAAAATCAACACAAGCACTTCTGCAGCTCAGACCACTTTCTCTAGTTTGCATAAGCAAGCCCAAATACTGGCCAGATGCACACACGTCCTCTGCTGAAGGAAGGGTGGTGGGTGTAGCTGGGATAATGAGGAGCTCCTCACAGGCTTCTGGTTACAGGACATGAAGTGAGAGACTGGCAGAGAGAGGCTTCCCGGAATCCACAGGGGGCAGCTGAAAACACCAAGCTTGAAGGTTCAGAGTTTACCAAAAGCAAAAGGTAATTTTATCCAGGAGCTCTGGGAAGCCTGCTGATACATTAGGGGTTTGATATGAGTGTGAAAGATTGATGACAGGGAAGAGGAAGAACAAATGCTAACACTTTACAGAGATTAGCCTCAGCCCAGCATAACACCTTAATGGAAACACCACTCAGTTCCTGACAGCAACCTACAAGAGAAGGGAGCAGAGAAAAGAACGAAGATGAGTTCCAAACTATGCTTGAAATAGCAACAATTTGGCGTAGTGTAACACCCTCTGTAGCACTGTTGCGGGGTCAGCTGCAGTTACAGACTCAGCACTGTGGTCTTAAACTTAAAAGCTGGCTCTCCTTCGAAACAATACACATCTTCCAACTGTTTCTATGTGTTTTATCTCAAAGGCTTCCTGAGAGTATATTACAACAGAAAACCAAGCATGCTACCCATCTCCTTCACAGCACATTTCCCATAATCATCACAGAGAATAAGCAGGTTTGCATTCTTCACTACTGGCAACTGGGCAAATTCTTAATTATTAATTACTGTTGATCTGAGGCCTGGGAGGGAGCTTCCACAGCCCCCTCCAACATGCTCCTAATGCATCCCTCCACTCTGGACCCACGTCTTCTGCTGGCCAATGTGAGCAGAGATGTTCAGCCCCATCACACCCAGACTGCTTCATCCTTCCTTCTCTCTTCCAAACAGATAGACATACAACGGCAACCCCTTGGAAAATTTGTGGGAAATTTAAATGTAGTGTTATGTCTTCAGCATTTCAACTTAATGAAGACAATTATTTCTTAAAATCCTTTCCTTAAACTTCACAGCAGCTGTTTTCATGATGACTTTTGCCTGAAGACTGCTGTGACTTTTTAAACCGCTGTACAAGGAGAGGAAACTGTGCAGGGGGAGGACTGGATGTATAAAACAATTGTGCAAACGGTTACACGTGGAGGCACTGAAGGCAGGATGATGCACAGCCCTGCTCATCTTTCTAGAATTTACGGTTATGGGAAAGATGAGAATGCATTTTGCAAGAGTAGATACGCCATTTTAACCTTCTGACATGAGTAACAGTGGGTAAAAAAAAAAAAAAAAAATGAAAAAGCTTGGCTTCAGAAGAAAACTGCCAACAACTGAAAATGTTATCTGACCTTTCTTTAATCTATACTAATACTGTACTATGACAATCTTTCAACTGTAAAAATAAAACACTTTCCTGACATTAGCTGACCTAGCTGTATGAGAAGTGTTTTACATGGTACATACTTCATCAAAAGTAAACACGCCTTAAACTTGCTCTGAATTAAGGTGCCGGGTTTTTAGAAGTACCACAGTAAGCTCAAGAAGGCCGACAAATCCTGCTATCCCAGGGGCTGTGACTAACGTGGCGACATTTGGTGAGACTGGCCAACACACAGAAGGTTTTTACAGGGCTAGCCAAAAGCCCAGCACTTTAAGCTCTGCAAAGACTTAGACAAAGAAATACACCTACAAGGAAAGAATCTTTATTACGACTGGATGCTGGAGTTTATCTTTGCGCTTTTAATCAAAGAGGCAACAAAGCACTGGTCCAAAGCCGAAAATGTGTTTCTTCCTTTGCCATTAGCTACACCCTCTTCTTCTCTTCATTTACTTATTTATTTAGTGTGTCTGCATATTCATGCATGTATGTGTGTATGTTTGTTTGTGCATGTGCACACGTGTGTGTGTGCATGTGTGCTCTCATGTTTGAGTACATGAGCATGCACCATGGTGCACATGTGGAGGTCAGAGTTCAACTTGGAGTAGCAGATTCTCTCCTTCTACCACGTGAGTCTTGGGACTGAAGTTAGACTGTCAGGCGTGGCTACTAGCAACCCCTTCCCTGTTGAGATATTTTGGTTGGTCCCCTTACACCTACTTTTATTCATTTTCCTTAACTATGAGAAGAGAAAGTGTAAAAAAATGAGATTATCCACAGCACTTATAAGATCTCTTTAAAGTTCCATATGGAAAATTATAGGGTAAAAAAACCCCGATATGCTCTCTTTTAGAACTGTTCTTTGGGTCAGCCAAATGAGAATGCTCCAAGAGAAATAAGCTAATTCAGGCCAGACATGTTGCTTCTTTTTCTCAGAGTCTGGACAAACTGCAGAAGAGAATGCCTTGAATGTTCCTTGCTGAGGATATTAAAAAGACACAAATCATCTTAACCACAGTTTGATTCAAATACACAACTGAGAGACGAAGCATTAATTTCCATTTTTTCACTGTACTTATGAGTCAGCCAGAAATGCTGCTGGCAGACAGAATGGAAAGAGACCAAGTTTATTTCATTATTATGAGTATAATCTGAGGTCAACATGGGATGTCTAGATCAGTATTTCTTCTGCAAAAGACATTTAGAAAATAAAATTTGTCACCTGCGAAACACACTTGTTAACACTTTTGACACCACAGAAGGAGGGCTCCATGGATCTTACTGTTCCCCTGCTCTGTTCCCCAACTCACTGGTGTGTTAGCTGACTGACTTAGCAAATGTTCAGGCGCCACCCTTGGTGCACACTGATCTATGTCCTGAGAGACAGGAGTAAACAGGGAAGATCCTAATGCTCTGGGGTCACCGCAGAGCCACACAGGGTGTGTTCCAAGGAGATGCTGTAGAGATCCTGGACTCCCCTGAGTAAAGAGGCCTGCCAGGTCAGGCAAGCTTTCAAAGCTAGAAGACTTGCCCAGGGCAGCCTGGAATTCAAGACAACCTAGCAGACAGTTGCTTCGTTAAACTGATGACTGGAATGTAACCGAAAACGCTTATAGTTCCCCAAACCAAACAAAAAAACAGAGAAACTAGCAAGAAAACCTAAAAACTCAGTGGACTGTACGTGAAAATTATACTGGGCTATACGACTGTGGTTGTTTTAAATAAACACTGGCTACTGTGGCTGAGAGGTTAAATGTGCACAGTTTAAGACAGATAATAGCTTCTTCACAGAGCAATTACTTCAGTCGAGAAAGGACTGAAAGTTAAAAATAAACCAGTGGAAACGGCCTCCAGGACTGATGAACATATGCTGCCTCTACCGCACACCACCCTGAACAATGCGAGGTGCACAGCAAAGGTGGTGGACTCATGGAGAGGAGCCAAGAAAGGTGTGGGGAAAACAAGTGTGTGACCACAGGTGGCACCTGACACCAGACAGGAAGCT